GGGCGTTTGCCTTGCACATGGCTGACCTGGGTTTGATTCCCAGTATCCCATATGTTTCCCCGGGCACCGCCAGGGATAATTCCTGAGTGTATGAGCCAGGAGTAACCCCTAACCCCTGTGCATCGTGGGGTGTGACCCAACTGTCACAGTCACAGTCCTCCCGTTGTTCATCGATTTGCTCGAGCGGGCCCAGTAACGTCTCCATCATGAGACTTGTTACTGTGTTTGGTATATTGAGTACGTCAGGGGTAGCTTGCAAGCAAAAAAAGAATTATATCTAGAACTTCTTTGTGGTTAACTCCTCCAGAAAGTCAATTTAGAGTTATAACAAAACTCGTTTCGTTGTGTCATTATTGTCTCTTACAGCTGAGCAATACCACTGGTATACCCAGATTCATAGGTTGACTCTCATAGATATATACCAACTGCAAGTCAGACCTGAGTTTGCCTCTGCTGTATATTTTGATACTATATTTAGACTTAGCTAGCCAAGAAAAAGGAAATTTGCTCTAACTTTGACTTCCATATGATTTCAGTCTGGTAAAACTCTTCTCTGGTTTTGAAAATAAATGCTTCCTGAGTATAAAATACTTTTATTTAAATGCTTAAGTTGCATTTTGCCTTACATAAAGGATGATACCTGGTGATATACATTTGTAGAATCTAATCACTTCTGTTTTTTTGTAAAGTCTTGCAGGTTTTTTTTTTCTTTTTGGGTCATACCCTACAATGCACAGGGGTCACTCCTGGCTCTGCACTCAGGAATTACCCCAGGTGGTGCTCAGGGGACCATATAGGATATTGCGAATCAAACCCAGGTCGGCCATGTGCAAGGCAAATGCCCTACCTGCTGTGCTATTGCTCCAGCCTGTCTTGCAGGTTTTTAATAGATTTTTAGAAATATGTAAATATCTGTAAGGTTTTGCCAAAGGGTCTGTCTTTATCTGCCCTAATCTCTTACAAGCCCTGTTTGAGTTACATATCTCTATTCTGATCTGTGGAATTACTTACCTGAGCTCAGACCATTTGAATATGTTAGATTCTTGGTAATTGAAATTGGCAGAATAAAAGCTAATATGTTTTGGACCTGAAATCCTTGACCATGTAGGGAGACTTAGAGGAAGCTTTTGCTTTAAAAAAAAAAAAAAAAAAAGAGGTAAGCTCTCTGATGCAGTCATTATGTAGTTAATATATTTTATACTAGGTTATAAAATTTCAGAAGGAGTGTATTTTCTCTGGGAGAAACCTTCCTGGAATACTATATAGTCACACCATTTATTATAAATCCTGACTGATTTCTCTGGCACTAATCAAATTTTTAGCTCTACTCCCCATATCTACTCTGCATCTAGCAGAAAGCCTTTAAGTTCTAAGTAAATTCACATCTTCTCTACCAGTGAGGAGCATATTGTTCATGTGCCATTTGGCAGTAATCTCCTTCATTTATTTGGGGCTTCTTTATTCTGCAGTAACAAATTGGCCCACTTACAGGGAGAAAGGGCTGCAAAGTTCAAAAAGAGAACTCCCAGAACGACCACCAACTGGGAACTCTTTGGCACTATTGCAGCAACATGGGAAGATGCCATTGTTGACAACATTGACGAGGAATACGATCGACTGGTTCAGCACCTCCATGAATGTGCGAGGAACGCCAAGAGAGAGATAGCCACAAAAAAACGCCTGTCTTCGAAAACTCTTGAGCTAATTCGCCAGCGTGGTTTGGCGCATGCCTCAGGCAACCGCAAGCTAACGTCCGAGCTCGCAAAGCAGTGCAGAGATGCGATCAAGGAAGACCTCAAAGAGAGAAGAGCAGAAGTACTGGTAGATGCGGCAGAAGCTAGGAAAAGTATTCGTTACGCCCACCTGTCCTTCGCCAACTACAGGACCAAGATGACTGCCCTCCGACGTCCTGATGGATCCATCACATCCTCCAGAACAGCAATGGAGAAGATTATCCATGACTTCTACTCAAATCTCTTCGATAGCCATGTCCACTTGCCGACATACCAAATTCCACAGGATGGATATGTCGTTCCCAATGTTCTCCCTTCCGAAATCCGACACGCCATTTCGTCGGTAAAGAAACAAACAGCACCCGACCCAGACAAGGTCAGACCTGAACACCTGAAGAACCTGCCGTCAGTACTCATCAATACACTGGCTCGGCTCTTCACTTGCTACCTGTCTGAATGCAAGGTTCCGTCCCAATGGAAAACCAGCAGGACCGTACTACTGTTCAAGAAGGGAGACATCCATGACATTGGCAACTATCGCCCGATCTGCCGATTGTCTGTCATCTACAAGTTGTTCACTCGAGTCATCCTAAATAGCATTGGCAGAACACTAGATGAAGGACAACCATGCGAGCAAGCCGGGTTCCGCAAAGGATTCAGCACCATCGACCATATCCACACAATAACCAAGCTCATTGAGGTTTCTCGGGAGTTCAAGATGCCGCTCTGTTTAACGTTCATTGATTTAAAGAAGGCCTTTGATTCTGTTGAGATGGAAGCGGTCATTGAAGCCCTAGCCAATCAGGGCATTCAAGTCCAATACATCAAGATCCTCCGTGAGCTGTATTGCGGATTCACTACCAGGATCTCACCATTCTACAAAGAAGTGATCGTTGATGTCAGGAGAGGGGTTCGGCAGGGTGATAATACCATTTCACCGAAACTCTTCAGTGCCACCCTTGAGAACATCATGCGACGACTGGAATGGGAAGGAATGGGAGTGAAGATAGATGGTCGGCAACTACACCACCTCCGCTTTGCTGATGACATTGTTTTAATAACACCAAACATCAGCCAAGCGGCACAAATGCTGGCTGACTTTGACCGTGAGTGTGGAAAGGTAGGACTACAGCTGAATCTTACGAAGACAATGTTTATGAGAAACAGCCTCGTTCCTGATGCCCCATTCGCTCTCAACAGAACGACCATCTCCGAATGCAACAGCTATGTGTACCTAGGTCGAGAAGTCAACATGACAAATGACCTGGCACCCGAGCTGCGCAGGAGGAAGAGAGCGGCTTGGAACGCCTTCAAGAACGTCGAAGAGATAGCTAAGAGGACGAAGAACCTCCGGCTCCGGGCACATCTCTTTGATTCCACTGTTCTTCCTGCATTAACATACACCTCAGAGACCTGGGCCCTACGCAAACAGGATGAGAATGCTATTCAGGTCTCCCAAAGAAGAATAGAAAGAGCTATGCTTGGAATATCACGTTTCACTCAAATGAGAGAAAAAATCCGGAGTTCCGACATCCGTCGATGATCAAGAATCAGGGACGCTGTCTTATTTGCCAAGGTGTCAAAAATCAGATGGGCTGGTCACGTAATGAGATTTAAAGATGACCGCTGGACTAGAGCTGTTACCGGCTGGATTCCACGGGATGTCAAAAGACCACGTGGCTGCCCACCTACCAGATGGTCAGACTTCTTCGTGAAGATCATGAACGATCGGTTTGAGGCTCTTCATGATCCCAGAGCAAACAGATGCCATTGGGCTACACTAGCACGCGACAGGGACAAATGGAGACATTACTGGCGCCCGCTCGAGCAAATCGACGACTAACGGGAAGTTAAATGATTAAGTGATTAAGTGACAGTGACTAGTTTTTTATGCATCATGGATTGATTCAAGCACTATTCCATGGTTCTGTAACAAAAATGACATGGAATAGTGCTTGAATCAATCCATGATGCATAAAAAACTAGTCACTGTCACTTAATCACTTAATCACTTAACTTCCCGTTAGTCAATCAGAGAGGGATGGAAAATCATTTTTTAACATAATCTGGTACAACTCTACCTCCTCAAAATCTTACAGCTTGCCTTTAAGAACTTTGTCATCAAGTCAATAGAAATAAGCAGGAAAAGGGGTAAAATCTGTCTAGTACCACAGTAGCCGTGCTTTTCATCAGCATCTATCACCTCTCTTGTCTTCCTCAGGCAATAGAACAGTAAGTAGTTCATTGATTTTTCCAGAGGACTTTCTGCTCCTCAAAGACAGATAACAACCTCAGTGGTGGTCAGTTTTTCCTGTTTGTTCTACTCAACTTTACTAGTTTCTTGGGGCTATGCTTCCTAATACACTATTTAAACCCTTAGTCCCCCTTTCTAGACTTTATGAAAAACTTAGTGTTAACTTACAAATATGCCATGCTTACGTTTAAAAGTTTTTGCTTAGTGTTCCCTGTCAATTGTAGCTTTTTCATATCGATTCCAATCTCTAACATTAATTGAATATTTGCTTCTCCATCTCAAATCATATCTGAGTGTCTCAACCACTACTGTTCTTTCTGGTCACCTTTTTCTTTTCTGTTACCTAATAAATTCTCTTACTAATATTCTAATTCTAATTATAGCAAACACTACATTACTTTCATGAATTGTCAATTATCTCTAAATACATTGGCCACACACTCTAGTTCTCTAGACCGTGACAGGTAGTTTATAATCTATAGGGATGACTCAGCTCTCAGTTTTGATTTCTTTTTTGATTTCTTTTGATTTTTTATATAAAAAGGCTTCTGAGGCCAGGAGTTTGCCTCATTGGCAGAGTGCATGTCTGACATGTGTGAGGCCCTGAACTCAATCCTTGATACAGTATTACTCTTAAGCACCTCTGAGTGTGACCCTAATAGCTACACAGAACCATGACGCCCCCCCCCCAAAAATGTAGGAAATTGGACTTACTAGTTAAATATCAAAGTTAAGAAAGGTTCCCTTAAACAGTGGCACTTACAAAAAAATAATTGATTTTGAATCTTGTTTGTAGTAGTCATAAATATCTGAATTTCTTGGTCCCATTTTTGTAGTAACAATTGTAGAGCTAGGGATGTATCTCAGATAGAGTGCCTGCTCTGTGATGTTTTAGGACCTGGGTATGATTTTCAGCATTGTGATGAGATAAAGGGAGAGAGGAAAGAAGGAAGAATGATTCCATAACGCAACTCCAAAATACTTACTTTTTTTGTTGTTCTTTTCCAATCTAGGTCACAAGAAACTCCTGAAGATGGACAGCCTCCAGCTTTACCACCCAAACAATCGAAGAAAAACAGTTGGAACCAAATTCATTGTTCACATTCTCAACAGGATCTAGAAAACCATATTAATGAAACATTTGATGTCCCATCTTCCCCTGAAAAGTCTACTGTAAGTTTTTTAAATGTAAATGTAATTTGTTTGGGATTTTAGCATGTTGTATCTGTAAATTATGTTACTGTACTTTTGTTTTGATTTGTTTTGGGTCCCAACTGTCAGTGCTCTGGGTTACTTCTGGCTCTGTGCTTAGAGTTATTACTGCTGCAGTGACATACAATGCCAGGGATCAAAACCTTGTGGGCTGCATGTGAAGAAAGCACCTTACCCATTGGACTAGCTCTCTGACCCCAAGAATTATTATTCTTTATGATGCCATAAATAATATCAAGATGCAAAAAGCATTCTTTGTTTATGCCTGAAGTAGAGATTATAGGTGAAAATTACAAGTCATTTATCTTTGTCTTTTTAAGCCTAATGGTGGTATTCCACATGATAATCTTGTTCTAATCAAAATGAAGCCTGATGAAAACGGAAGGTTTGGATTCAATGTAAAGGTAATCAAGAATTTATATTGTGGTCAGATTTGTTAAATTGAGTTGCTCTTGGTTTGATAAAATTTCACTAATATCTGACTTAACTGTTTTTTAAGGGGGGATATGATCAAAAGATGCCTGTGATTGTCTCCCGAGTAGCACCAGGAACACCTGTAAGTTATGTAAATCCTGCAAGGAAATCCCATTTGCAAGAATATGTGCTTATTTTTTATTACTCTAAATAAAAGAAATGTAACTTTTTTCATTTATAAAATATATGTTGTATGTTATTAACTTGATCTCTTAAATTGCTGGAAAGTTTGGGTTTTTTAATTCTGTAGATGACAGTTTTAAAAATACATATTGTTTATTTGTTTGTTTTAATTGAATCACCGTGAGATACACAGATGCAAAGCTTTCATGATGGGTTTTCAGTCATACAATGTTCCAATACCTATCCCTCCACCAGTGTACATTTCCCACAATCCCTATCCCCACATAGGGCCAGATGATATTGCCTACTTTGGGAAATACTTATCCTAGAGTCTCTTAAATAATAGTATGTCAATATTTCCCTCATCTGTTTTCTTCTCTAACTCAGTTTACATTCAGTTTGAAGTTCCCTTACAAGTACTTTTTGTGTTTGTTTGCTGTCTTTCTCTGGACCATTCTCTGCTTTTAACTTTTTTTTTTAGAACAACTTCTCCTTTAGATTTTATGTAGGTTTATCACTGGGAAACACAAGTAATCAATCCAAATACATGTATTTTAGTTTATACTGAACGACAGAAGCACAGTGACCCCAACACCCACAACCTTTTGAAGAAGTGATATGGTTAATCACTGATCGTGATGTGTCTCTGTTATTTTACAACTTAGTGCTTTTTGAACTGACAGCAAGCACCAAAGTTTATATTTTATGTAGGTATTCAACATTATTATATTGTAACTGAAATTTGAGCCATAATGGGAGAATGTTATAAGGCGAAACTGTGATCATTGAGATGTGTTTTTTTTAACACTACAAAGCACAGGCATACTTATGCACCTTGAGATCATCATTCTTACCTGAATCTAGGCAACTGTTAGGATCGCAGAGAAAAGTTGTTGCAGGAAGATGGTAAAAACAGTATCTTCATGGGAGAGCTAGATTTTTTTTCTTCTTAGAAAACTAGATAAATGGATGATTAGAAGCTATTTGTCATTTCAGTCTGCTAATTCTTGAGCCTTTCGGAATCCAGAACAAATCTGAAACCTTATTCTAATTACCTTACAGGCTGACCTCTGTGTCCCTCGATTGAATGAAGGGGACCAAGTTGTACTGATCAATGGTCGGGACATTACAGAACACACTCATGATCAGGTGGTTCTGTTTATTAAAGCTAGCTGTGAGCGACATTCTGGGGAACTCGTGCTTCTAGTCCGGCCTAATGGTAAGTACTATATATAGCACTGGATGGTTTTCTTAATCAATTGGCGTTTAGTACTAAGCATAGTAAGTAGTGGCTGGGGAAGATAGCTCAAAGTGCTGGAGCACGTGCTTTGCATGGATTTGATCTGCAGCATCACATCGTCCCCTGAGTGAAAACTGATACCCTCCCCAGCACAGAGCCAGAAACAGTAATAAACACACACACACACACACACACACACACACAAACACACAAACACACACACAAACACACACACACACCCTGCTCCCAGCACTGCTGGGTCTGAGCACCCCCAAAACAAAGCAGTATTTATAGGGACCAGAACAATAGTAAAGCAGGTAAGGTGTTTGCCTTGGACTTAGCCAGCCCAGGTTCAATACCCGGCATTCCATATGGTCCCCTGAGCCCACCAAGAGTATTCCTGAATGCAGAGCCAGACGTAACCCCTAAGTACTGCCAGATGTGGCCAAAAACAAAAACAAAACAGTAATAATAATTTTTTTAATTAAGTCATGTTTGGCAGTTACCTGCTTAAAATATAATGCCTTCCATTCACATTTGGAATAAGTTTCAGATTGTTGTTTTCCCTTTACTACTACAACTCAACCTTGCGCACCATCCTCTATTCCATGCTAACTTTCTTGCTGTTCTTTCTTCCTAAAACACTTTTATCTTCAGTTTTTGTGTGACTTATACCCTCACTTCATTCAGCATTCAGATCTCTGTCATTGGAAAAATTTTCTCTTGATTTAGCTAAAATGACATTCCTCCTCCCCAAGTTGTTTTAAGAGTAGCAGTTGGTGCTCAATAAATTTTGAACTCTCCTCATTTTTAGAAAACAATAACAAGCTATAATTAAAGATTGTTTTAGGGACCTGGGGATGTTTGAGTGTCAAAGGAAAAGAGAAGGTAAGCAGAGAGTCTCCCACAAGTGAGGGAGTGGGGGTCCAGAGGGAAGCACCCACCCAAGCTTTTCTTTTTCATTTTTTAAATCTTGCTTATTTTTAGGAGCCTGCTTGCCTAATCTTGCCATGTCCTGATCTGAACAGCTAAATTGTTCATTGTAGTTTTGGGTATTTGTTTTTTGTGGGGGATGAAGGGTGGGATAGCATTGACAGCAGTGCTCAAGGTGCCATTATTAGCTTTGTTCTCAAGCACCACTAAAACTTCTTAGAATATAGTTTTTGTTTTCTTTGGGGGGGCCTAAGTTTGGGAAATCGTCACACCATAAACTCTGTCAGTAGCCTAGTTTTTCTCCACAATTCCAATAATCCTGCCTGCCAGTGTGGACCACCTGGAAGCAGGTCATTTCCCCTTTGAATGGTTGAGCAAGTTTATTTGTGCTTTCAATTCCTGCAGTACTTTTATATCTAATTTTATTCTCCTGTGCTGTGCAGAATAAATTAATAAAGAATAAATTTAATGCAGAAAAGTTCATTCTCTCTAACCTTCATTGTTTTGACAGTAGTTAATTTTACCAGAAGTCCTGCAGTTTAACAAGTCCAGATCCTTTAGCCAGCATTCATATGGCATTGTTTCAAGTTTCTTCAACACTGTCTATCTTGTCTGGGAAAATTTCTTAAATGCCTTTATTCCAGTTTTGGACATTCTTTGTCCAATTTGCCTTCTTGTCTAATGCTAGTCACAAGAATGATTATTTGTAATGCTAGATTACCATTTATTGAACACATACCATAGGGAAGTAAGGTATAATTAGAACCCTCCCTATGCCCCCTCTATACCTCACTTCACAAAAGTTTTAAGTTCTTTTAAAACAAATACAAGGGAGACCCAAGGATGTGGCTCCTGATAGAGTGCCTGCCTTGTAGACGTGAAGTTGTAAATTCCATTTCCGGCATACTTCATGTGAAAAATTTGGTCCCATGGCCCTACCCTTGGAATCTCTAGCAACAGAAAAGTTGATATATGATCTTAAGTGCACAGCAACTCCGTTTGTACATAATATCACCATTGTATAGCCCCCATTGTCCTAATAAGTAACAGCAACAAAAGTTGGAGGTAGGGTGAGAATTTCCCTTTTGTTGTTGTTTTGTTTGGGGGCCACACCTGGCAGTGCTCAGGAGTTACTCCTGACTCTGCACTCAGGAATTTCTTCTGGCAGGCTGAGGGGACCATATGGAAAGCTAGGGTACAACCTAGGTTGGCCACGTTCAAGGCAAACACCCTGCTCCATGTACTATCTCTCTAGACCCCTGTACTTTGACTCTTCAGGAGTCTGATACTGTGCAGGTCGGCACATGTGGCAGACCCCATTCAGTTCCCTGCACCATGTGGTGTCCTCTAGTCACTGCCAGGGGTCACTCCTGAGAACAGAGCCGGGATTAACCCCCGAGCTCTGTTCTCACCTCGAGGTATGGCCCCAACCCATCCCTCATAGAATGAATCAGGTTTTTATGTGATTCATTATTAGTTATTGTCTGTCACATAAAACCTGTTTTATACTGAGAATAATATCTGTTTTGTTTTGTTTTTATTTGATTACAGGTAAAAAAACCTCAATACTAAAAGTTACTCATAATTATTGATAGCTATGCACTAAGTCACATTTACATATTCTCATTTAATCTTTACAGCCCTTTTTTCTTTTTTTAAATTTTTTATTAAATCACTGAGATAAACAGTTACAAAATTGTCCGTGATTGGATTTCATTCATACACTGTTCCAACACCTGTCACTTCAGCAGTGTACAGTTTCCACCACCATTGTCCCCGATTTCCATCCTTCCACCCTGAATCTACCTCTGTGGCAGACACCCTCTCTCTCTCTTTCTCTCTCTCTCTCTCTCTCTCTCTGCCCCCCCTTCATTCTCTCCCCCCTCCCTCTCTCTTCTCTCCCTCTCTCTTTCTCTCCTCATCCACCCCCCGCCCCCTTTGGGCATTATCGTTTGTGGCACAGTACTTTTACAGTCTTTGAATTAACTAGATGTATTGCCTTCATTTCCAGCTGACTCTAAGGCACATATGCCCAGAGATGCATACACTCAAGTTATCTGCTCACAAATTTATGACCAAATCAGAGTTAGAGTATGAGCACTAGTCCATATATACTCAAAAAAACATAATCTTCTTGTAACTGTAAATTATCTGATTTGTACCATGAATTGGGAGAGCAACTAGCTATGGCTTATTTCATGGCAAAATATCTTTCTAATATAGTTTTACATGTGAATCACATTCACTCTGTGGGTTTTTCATGCCTTTTTTATTTTAAATAATATTATAAAATAATTTATGTTTGAAAAATACCAGGCAGTCAAAGAGCTTATTTTCCCCCTATTAATTATGGTTATTTTCAGACAAAATGCATTCTTTTGGCTTTTTCATTTCATTTGAGAATTGTATTCTTTTCAGATGTGTGTTGTTATTCTAGTAGGAATCAAACCTCTTAGATGAGGACAGAGAAGCCTAGTTTCCCAAAGTGTTCATATTACCCCTGGGAGTGGGGTGTTGGAATGATCCTAGTTGGTGATAGGCTGAAATGCATTTCGGGAAAGGAGCTCCGCTTTCTGTTTGTTTCCTTAAAGAAGGGAGGTTTCCAGCAGGAGTTGGTGGTGGTGGGATGCTGAGTAGTTTTTTTCCTGAAAGGGGTATGGATTAAGCCAAATTACTTTGGGAACCTCCACTCTTCTCTGCCTCTCAGAATTTTGTAGGACCAAGAGAACCTACTAGCCATTGTCAGTGACGTCCTGTTTCTTTCTAGACAACTTTTATTCAAACTTCAGTCCTATGTGCAGATATTTTCTCACCATTTCCTGGGCCTATGCAATTGACCTTTTTCCCTGGACCATTCCTTTAGTTTCAGTCATATTAGTCCCTAGATCATTGGCATTGGTAAGAGGCATCAATTTGCAGAAAAGTATAGAGCAGACTTACATATAGCTTAGATAGATGTTCGTAGTGGATTACACCACCCCCTAAGTTAAAGAATAGAACTGAGATTAGAGAAATAGTTGCTGTGGACCATAGGCCACATTCTAGGGCTGGTCTCACACTACTGTGACCTTAAATTCTGGGACAGAATTCTCTTTGAAAGGTGACCTCCCAGGTCGTTTGATACATCTGTCAAGGGAAAAAAAAGACTAGAATATACTTTGTTTAAGCACTCTATTTGGTTTTTCTGCAGCTTCTCCTATCTAGACAGATCTGTATACTATTCCTAAGTTCTGCATATTAAAAGATTTGCATCTTTTCAAAGCACAGAGCTCCTTTTTTTTTCTTTTTAGTTTTTTGAAGTTACAGACATTTTCAGTGATATAGCAAAGAACACTTTTTTTCTCCTAAGGTACAGCAAAGTTCCTCAGCTCAACAGCCACTTTTACCCCTGCACAGTGGCACTTGTCAAATTTGATGAACTCTGAGTGAATGAAGTGTTCTCTTGACAGATGATTAATGAAAATATGTGGTAAATTCTTCATGCCATTTTGCTAAAATGTTCCTGTGGCTTTTTAATTTGTCCTTTCAGCTGTTTATGATGTAGTGGAAGAAAAGCTAGAAAATGAGCCAGACTTCCAGTACATTCCTGAGAAAGCTCCACTAGATAACATTCATCAGGATGATCATTCCCTTCGGGAATCAATGATTCAGCTAGCCGAGGGGCTTATCACTGGAACAGTCCTGACACAATTTGATGTAAGTAATACCATTATATAGAAAAGATGATTATCCATATTTTCAAATTCATGTTACAATTTTTTATCTGCTCTATCCTAGTGATTTTTTTTTTCCTTTTGGGTCACACTCAGTGATGCTCAGGGGTTACTCCTGGCTCTGCACTCAGGAATTATTCCTGGTGATGCTTGGGAGACCATATGAGATGCTGGAGATCGAACCCAGATTGGCCGTGTGCAAGGCAAACCCCCTACCCACTGTTCTGTCACTCCTGTCCCTATCCTAGTGATTTTTAAAGTCAAATGGTATTTGGAGAAATGTTTGACAGGAAAAAGTTCCCAAATGTAAAGTTTTTAAATCTCCCAAAATACTAATAGTGTGTATTTATAAACAGATGTCTATTTAAGAGTGGAATAATGAGGGGACCAAGGAGGTATCTCAGAGAACTGGAGTAGATGTGCTAGGCCCTGAATTAGTTCCCCAGCAGCACAGTCCCCACTCCTGCACTCCCAGAGGTAGGCCTGGTGTGACCATCTCCTGGAGTGACTCTAGTGGCCCACAACACAGCTGATCCTGAGCAGCACCACATTGTCAGTCACAAGCACTCAACCATCAAGCCATGAAGCCAAGTATCACTAGGAGTGGCTTCAAATCCTCTTGAGTACTATTTGGGAACTTTTTCCCCCCCCAGTCTCCAAAAGATTTTATTGTATTTTATTTTCTTTTCTTTTATTGCTTTTTTGGGTCACACCCAGCAATGCACAGGGGTTACTCCTGGCTTTGCACTCAGAAATTACTCCTGGCGGTGCTTGGGGGACCATATGGGATGCTGGGAATTGAGCATAAGCACCACAGCTTTAAAAAGTATGAGCCCCTAGTTAGCAGTGCAGCGGAAAGTATGCAAGCCAGTAGGGTTGTGATCACTACACTCTACTAGACTACCCCTTTGACTGCAACAGCAAAAAGAAAGGGACGGAAAACTCTACGCTTACATGCTGTTTAAAATTTAAAGTCTTTTTTTTTTTTTTTTTTGCTTTTTGGGTCACACCCGGCGATGCACAGGAGTTACTCCTGGCTCTGCACTCAGGAGTTCCCCCTGGGGGTGCTCAGGGGACCATATGGGGTGCTCGGAATCAAGCCCGGGTCAGCCGCGTGCAAGGCAAATGCCCTACCCGCTGCATTATTGCTCCAGCCCCTAAAGTCATTTCTTAAAAGCAAAACAGCCCACTTCTTTTAATCTTGTCTTAACATACATAAAATTCAAGTAAGAAATTGCACAGAATTTGGTTTAGCAAATCTATTTCAGTACCTTACCAGATAAGGTGTAATATTGTGTAGGTGAAGTATCCTAGGGGAAAACCTGTTTCTTTTTAGCATAAAGACTGTTCTGAGGAGTCAGGGAGATATCTCAATAGGCAGGAGCACATGCTTTGGATGTAGGAGGCCTGGGTTCGAGTTCCTATCCTGTATAGTTCTTTAGCACCACTGAAACAGTCCCATCAGGATTAACCCACGAACACCACCAGTTGTGACTCGAAACCAAAATGAAAAGAAATAAATGCCTGAAAAACATAACAGTAGCTCTTGATGATTTTCTGGTCTCAGCTTGGTTTGTTTTTGTTTTTGTTTTTGTCTTTTAGCAACTGTATCGCAAGAAACCTGGAATGACAATGTCTTGTGCCAAATTACCTCAGAACATTTCCAAAAATAGATACAGAGATATTTCGCCTTGTAAGTATCTACCCTCTCTGTATGCTAAAGTATAAATTTTTTAATGTTAAATTCTTTTCAATTTTATTTTTTAATTTTAATTCTTTAAAATTTTTCAGATGATGCTACACGGGTTATTTTAAAGGGTAATGAAGACTATATCAATGCAAATTATATAAATGTAAGTTTATTTTTTTATACCTATGTCATTTGGAATAAGAAGAACGAGTATAAATTTTGAGATTCCTTTTAGGTAAAAGGCCAACCATGAGAGATGATTAAAACTTCAAAATATTGAAAAAATTATAAAATTAATATCAAAGTTGTTTGATGCTAGAGTATTAATATAAACATAAATAGAGCAGTGGTACAAAATAGCTTTAGTTCAGAAAGAAACTGAAATAAATACTAGCATTTTGTTTATGGGAGAGATAATCTTTGAAGTCATTGAAGATAAAACATTATGTAGAGAATGGGTTGGGTCAGCTGTCTAGACTATAGTAAGACTTTTCCCCATTATGGAGATAAGAAGCATTGCAACATTTTTATTTGTAATGTATAAAATTTTACACATAGAAAAATAGATTTTAAAAAGTTAAATCATCCTTTACTATATGCCCCCACACATCTCATTATTTTCGAACAGTCCATACATCAGGTCATTCTTGATGTGAACATATATTTTAGTTATATCAAAATACAAATGTTTGAAAGAATAGAATTTTGGGTTCAGAGGGATAATACAGCAATTAACTAAGATGATCGCCTTGCGTGCAGCCAACCCTGGTTTGTTCCCCGGCATCACACAGTCCCCTAAACATCACCACTGTACTCCCCCAGCACTGCCAGGTGTGACCCACTCCACCCCAAAAAGAGAATCCTTGAAGTACTTGAAGGTAATATGAACAAATTGTTTACAGTCTCAGAATGGAGAAAAATCTTCCAAGCTTATCTATGCCTACTCTATTAAAAAAAAAGATCAGTGAACTTGGGAAAATAAAAGTTTAATTTGGGAGATGCTTTTTATTTTTTTTTTAATTTTTGTTAGTGAAACACCATGAGGTACAGTTGTAGACTTACAAACCTTTGTGCTTGGGTTTCAATTATACAATGATCAAACACCCATCCCTCCACCAGTGCCCATTTTCCACCTCCACAGGTCCCAGTATCCCTCCCACCCCCATCCCCCCCATCCTGCCCTGCCTCTGTGGCAGGGCACTCCCTTTTGTTCTCTCTGTCCTATGTGGTGCAGTGGTTTGCAAAAGAGGCATTGAGTGGCAATCATGTTCGGTCTATAGTCTACTTTCAGCATGCATCGCCTATCCTGGGAGGATCCTCCCAACACCCTTTATTTGGTGCTCCCTTCTCTACCTGAACTGCCTTTTCCCCTAGCATGTGTGGCTGGTCTCCAAGCCATGGAGCAAACCTCTTGGTACTTATCTCAGCTGTTCTCGGGTGTTAGTCTCCTATTTTGTTACTTTATGTTCTCCAGATGAATGCAATCTTTCTATGTTTGTCCCTCTCTTTCTGACTCATTTCGCTTGATACTTAAAAATACCAAACTAGTTGTTTTTAGGGGTGGGCAGTGTAAGTCAGTGCAGTGGAGGCTGAATTGCCTGCTGTGCTAAGGGAACTTTAAGAGAAGTGAACTCTAGTGTTCCATAAGATTACTTGATCTAAAGGAGTTGTGCTCACTCCTCTCCAAGCCCACAGAGCTGCCCTATGCCCACCTTGTCTTCCGGATAGAGGAGCCCATCAAATTGTCCAGGGTTGCAGGCCATTCTATATATCCTCAGCTGGCTAAACAAGCTACCAAAATTGTTTGCAGTGTAGTGAGTTTATCAGGATCAAACGGCCCACAAAGCCATCTCTGGGTATCCCTTGCGACCCCCTTCAGCATCTCCAGCCTGTGCGTTGTAAGAGCAGTATTCCCTGCCCTACTCTGCTTGGCATCGTGGGGGTTGCTGTGGAGGAAGAGTAGAGACACATGGCCAGGTCAGGATTGGCATATGTGCACCAGCACCACAGCGCACACCTGAAAGCCTAGAGCTGCAGTTGTCATGAAGTGCCACGCCTCCCTGGCCCGCCTCCCTGGAATCAGGAGAGACTCCTGGCTTTGCAGAAGCTGTCCTGCCAGCCCTCGGTCACATTGCAGAGCTGCAACACATGTCAGATGCTTGAATCAGATACATCCTACATACATCCTACATCTGGTCCCTTTCTGTACAATACAGATCTGTGCTTTGTCTTTTCTTCTTTCTTTTTTCTGGACCACACCCAGTGATGCTCAGAGCTTACTGGCTCTGCAACTCACTCATTTCTTCACTAAGGAAGAAAACTGTGAACATGAAAAAATGTGAAATAATAAAAATAATAGAAATACAATGATCATGATCATCCTGTTGTTCATTAATTGCCTCAAGCAGGCACCAGTAACATCTCCTTCGTCCTGGCCCTGTGAAATGCTCTTTCAGGGTTAGGAGAATGAGACCTATCATTGTTACTGGTATTTGGCATATTGAGTACGCCACGGGGAGTTTGCCAGACTCTGCCATGTGGGCAGGATACATTCAGTAGCTGCCAGATTGTCCATTTTAAGAATGAGATAATAAGATGTTGCGCAACCGCACACTTGCAGGAGCTGGATTTTATAGTCTCTGGTCTTGGCCGTTGATGGGATTACCTGGCACAGAGGGCAGTTGGTGGGTGTGACGCCTGCCTACTGGGAGATGGGGATCATCTGGGTGGAGGATGCTCAGCCCCGATCCAAGCAGGCTTGGAGATCTCAGCCCTGGGACCCGCATGCCTGGGTTCCTCTGCCAGTTCCTTCATGCATGAGGTTTGTTCAGACATGTGGAGAGTGGTCTCAGCCTGGCTGTGGTTGGTTCTGGAGGTCTTCGGCTGCCAGGGCTCTGCTCGGGGTGGGGAGAGAAACTCAACCCGCCCCCTCCAAGGGGCCGTGGTGAGGACAGCCAGGCGCGGGGACGGGAGACTCTGCCTAATACAATGATAATTCACAGAAAATGAAATGCGAGTGATGTTTTAAATGGCCATTTCCAATTATTTTCAAAAATAAAATAGTATAAAAAGGCATACTCCACCCACATGAACATGTTATTTAACTTTAAGAGTGATCAACAAATGACCGAACTTGTTTTATCTAAATGGTATCAGCTTATGCTGTTTTTAAAACCAAATATATGACTTTTTTGTAGATAACATTCAGTTCTTACATGTATTAGCTCAATTGTTATAGTATATAAAGCCTTCATGAACTCTGAATTTAAAAGTACTGAATCAGGGACCAGAGAGATAGTGCAAAAGATAGAACACTTACTATATACACAGCTGACCCAAAGTCAATCTCCAGCACCCCACACAGTCCCCCAAACACCGGCCAGATGTGATTCCTGAGTATAGAGACAGGATAAGCCCTAAGTGTGTGGGGGTGTGGGGGAGAGGGATTAATTGTTGCTACAAGAAGAAATACAGAGATTAGATTTCCAGGGGCTTCCAGATACTTCCATGAGTTGATCAATACAGAACCTGGGTCTAGAGCAGATAGGATGCTTGCCTTGCACGTCCTGACCTGGGTTTGATTCTTCCTACCGTATATGGTGGGCTGGAGCAATAGCATAGCGGGTAGGGCATTTGCCTTGCACACTGGCCAACCCAGGTTCGATTCCTCCGCCCCTCTCGGAGAGCTGGCAAGCTACTGAGAGTATCTCGCCCACAGCCTGGCAAGCTGCCCGCGACGTATTCGATATGCTAAACACAGTAACAACAAGTCTCACAGTGGAGGTGTTACTGGGCCCACTTGAGCAAAACAATGAACAACGGGAGGACAGTGACAATGACAGTGACTGCATATGGTCCCCTGAGTTCATACCTGAACACTACCAGGTGTGGCTCAAAAAAAAAAAAAACAAGTACAGAACCTCTTTTTGTTTAAAGATACCTTAATATGTACTGTTTGTTCTTGAACACTGAACTATGCCAGCATCACTGTAACTCATACCTGAAGGAAGGTCCTCTGATAAGTATTTTCTCCGTGTAACACCTCATAGCCTCACAGCCTTCTCTTACTAGTCAGTACTTCAGCTCCCCCACTGGAGCACATCTAAACACTAATAAGAAATAGAAAAATTAAAATGTACAGGAGCAAATAGGATGCAAAACAAGACAGCTTACAATTTCAGAGAAGACAAAGGAAAGCATGATCTTAATTGGTATTAGCTTTGAAATGTGCACATCAAGGGACCTGACTTTCACCTCCTTTCACATGTCTGTAGATAACCACAAAATCGCTACAAGTATTTGGAATTTACAAGTAAATTTTTGCTTGTAAAATATGCAAATACAGAATCTGTGAACAATGAAGATTAACTATTTTGATATGTACTTCTATTAAGGATTCTTCTTTTAAATGGAAAACCACAATATCTTTATTGCACTTAGAAAAATTATAAAATGCTTAAATGAATGATACACACAACTTTGTGGCTGGAAAGATAGTACCGCAGTTAAGGTGCTTGCCGAGCACTTTGCCAGACCAGGTTCCATCCCTGGTACCATATATGGTCCCCAAGCACCTCCAGAAATGATCCCTGAGCATAGGCTAGGTGTGGCTCCAAACCAAAGTTTAAAAAGAAATATGTTTGTATGAACATTACAAAGAAATGATACTTATGTACAAATATATATACACATATATATATTTGGGGGACCATAGTATAGAGAATCCAGTCTGGAGCGCCATTCCTTTGACCTGTCTCCCCAGCCCAAGAAACTTCTTTTTTATTCAGCTTATCCTGTACTTTGAATTAACATATGACTGTCCCCGCTTCCATATATACATATATATATATTATAAAATTTTGATAGTGCCAAATTGTTCTCCAAAGAGATTTTACCAACTTTTGTTTCTATGGGTAATATGTGAGTCAGACTTGTCCTAAAGTAATCTTTTAAATATTCATAATCCCTGATCCATAATTCTGAAAATCTCAATACTCTGAAATGTATGTTTTGTTTTGTTTTGGTTGGACCGGGGGTGGGGGGGGAGGGAGGGGGGAATGGTTTGTGGAATACCTGATCTTACCTGAATTCATCTAATACCAATATCTGACTTAAATTCATCTAAGATTTATATTTTGTATTAATTCCACTAGAGAATCTCTATACTACTGAATATTGAAAGTAGGTAGAAGGATATGCATTGATACAGCATCTGTATTGTGAACCATAATGCCCAAATGGGGGGAGAGTGACAGAGAGAGAGAAGAAGGAGGGAGGGAGAGAGGGAGGGAGGGAGAAAAAGTATCTGCCATAGAGGGAAGGGCTGGGAGGGGGTGACTGGGGACATTGGTGGTGGGAAATGTATACCGGTGAAGGGGTGGGTGTTGGAGCATTATATAACTGAAACCCAATCGTGAACAACCTCGTAATTGTGTACCTCACTGTGGTTCAATTTAAAAAATTAGCACTGTGGCACGGTCCTCCCATTGTTCATCGATTTACTCGAGCAGGCACCAGTAACGTCTCCATTGTGAGACTTGTTGTTACTGTTTTTTTGCATATCGAATATGTTACGGGGAGCTTGCCAGGCTCTGCTATGCGGGCGGGATATTCTCAGTAGCTTTCCGGGCTCTCCAAGAGGGATGGAGGAATCGAACCTGGGTTGGCTGCATGTAAGGCAAACACCCTTACCCACTGTGCTATTGCTCCAGCCCTTAAAAAATTAAAATAAGAAAAAATCGCTGTTCTCGGCTTTTGAAGGTCAGTATGCTAAGTGATTATAGGTCATGTCTGATAACATATTGGAAGAGTTACAACATATGGTGTATCAGTGATTTACCTTACAAATCCATAAAATCTTGAATTTCAGAAGCCCTCAAATGTGTGACCCTGAAATTTCTTGCAGAATTTAATTTAGACTTGTGTATGGCATTAGCAAACTTGTACATTTTGATCTGAGCGATGAAAATATAATTCCCCACAGTTTTGATTAGGGTTTTCTTGTGTGAATTAAGTTGTCTTTTTATTTATTTTTGGTTTGGCATTGTTCCTGGGTTAGCTGTGGAAGAGGCTGTGTAAGGTACCTACCTTACTCATTATACTATCTCCCCACCCCCATAAATATATTTTTTATACACAAATATGTTAAGTTTGCAGAAATGATCCAGCATAACTTTGGGATAGCAAAGCTGCAACTAAAATGCCTTTTAAATAAACTGAGGTATTTTTACAGTAGAAAATCATTAGAGTTAAATTTTATGTGTTAACCAAAAATGATCTCAACAATAGTGAGTGAAAAAACAAAACACACAAGGTGGGAAATACATGGTACCATTTGTTTTTTAGAAAAATAGCATAGCATCACACGTATTATATTCATAGACTATGTCCAAAAGAATCTTAGAAACTAGAAAAATATTGCCCATTTGGATAGAGACAAGGATGCAGGGACTTGTTTACCTCTTGTTGTTTGTATTTTTGTTTGATGTTTTGGGGACCTTTCCCAATGCTTAGGAGTGAGCTATTTTCATCTCAGTGCTCAGACTTGCCTCTGACAGTACTTGGGGGACCGTGTAGTATAGAGTCCAATCTGGAGCACCATTTCTTTGAACTGTCTCCCCAGCCCAGGAAACTTCTTTTTTATTCATCTTTTTCTATACTTTGAATTACCATATGACTCTTCCCTCTTCCATTTTCTTTAATTTGATTCTCAAAATGTAGCCATGTAGTGCTTATCTTTCCAAATATAATCTTCTTTTTAAAATTCATACACTTTTCAGTTATTTTTCCAATATCCTCTTTAAGGTTTACACACATAAACATTACATCCAAACTAGAAAACAAATGGCAGAACTTTTGTTGCTCACAGATGTTAACAGTAAGCTTTTTTGGAGGCATTTTTAAGTTATTTCTGACTATGAAAACAGATTCTCTGTAAAGCTGCACTTTATATAACTTAATAGTGCTTTGGAAAATATTTAGATTCCTGTTTATGCTAATTGAATGATAAATATGTATAACTACTGGATATTGCCAAGATATTTCTTCTGTGGATAAAATTATTTCTATCTGCGGAATAGATTTTATTTCACTGACTGAAGTTTACTTGGATTAGTAGATTTAATTATCACTGGATGATTTTCATATGTTTGATCAAAGTAAAAAGAAATCATGTAAAATATTTTTTTTTGTATATTTTTCTTTTTAGATGGAAATCCCTTCTTCCAGCATTATAAATCAGTACATTGCGTGTCAAGGGCCATTACCACACACTTGCACAGATTTTTGGCAGATGACTTGGGAGCAAGGTTCTTCCATGGTTGTTATGTTGACCACACAAGTTGAACGTGGCAGGGTAAGTCTTAGCAATTTTACTCCTTGAGGTATCCAAAGGAATTTAAAATATCTCACACATGGGGCCAGAGCAGGTACAGCAGGTAAAGCACTTGCCTTGGACATGTCTAACCCAGGTTCAGTTCCTGGCACCCCATAGGTCCCCCACATCTACCAGGAGTGGTCCTTGAACACAGAGCCAGGAGTAAGACCTGAGCTCTGCTGGGTGTGGCCCAAAAAATAAAAATAAAAATAAAATGTCTCCACATGTTCATGGCAGTTCTTACCAGTCCAAAGATGGAAACAACCCAGATGTACCAAAGAAAAATGTTATGTTCATATTATTCCACAATTTAAAAGGAATGAAAATTAATACGTTTGTAAAAAAATTTATGAGTAAACCTAGAAAATACCATGCTAAGTAAATCATCAGTCATTAATGATGTTATGATTATTACTGTTACCAAGAAGAAAAAGTGATAGAGCAATGAATGTAAACACTTTGGAGACAATTTTTTACCTTTATGTGAGAGTTCATTAAATTGTTCTTGTAACTTTTCTATAAGTTTAAAAGTTCTTAAAAATTAAAACATTAAGGGGCTGGAGCGATAGCACTGCATGTGGCCGACCCGGGTTCGATTCCCAGCATCCCATATGGTCCCCCAAGCACCACTAGGAGTAATTCCTGAGTGCATGATCCAGGAATAATCCCTGTGCGTTGCTGGGTATCACCCAAAAAGCAAAAAAAAAAAGAAAGAAAGAAAGAAAAAAAAATTGTAAAAGTTATGTAAACATTTAAATTCGTTTCTATTAGGTTAAATGTCACCAGTATTGGCCAGAACCCACAGGAAGTTCATCCTATGGATGCTACCAAGTCACTTGCCACTCAGAAGAGGGAAACACTGCATATATCTTCAGGAAGATGACACTATTTAACCAAGAGGTAAGAAAGCAGGATACCTATTCATTAGAGTTGTGATGTTCGAGGGAAAGGCTTGGGAAGCTGCAATTATTTTCGTCTGAATCTTGGTTAGTAGAAAATAGTATTTTCTATATAGTAATAGTAAAGTTACTCAGCTGTTATGTACTTCATTGAAATACTTTGGAATCTTATGAAGAATGCTCTTCTATTTTATAATAAATTTATTTTCTATATTTATAGTTAAATTACATAGTTCAGTAAAAGAATCCATTGCACAGTAGTCTCTCTGGGGTAGGGGGGTTGGTTTCATTTTATTTATTTTTTATGCAAAGCATGAACTATGGGTGAGCTACAATCCCACCCAGTATTTACTACTCTTACTACTTTGCCTCTTTATAGAAGTTATATCAAGTATGTGTTTGGTTATAAAGATTTCTTCCTCTAGGGCCAGAGTGATCGTACAGCAGGTAGGGCGTATGCTTAGCAGGCTGCTGACCTGGGTTCAATCCCCAGCATCCCATATGGTCCCCTAAGCACCATTAGGGGTAATTCCTGAGTGCAGAGCTAGGAGTAACCCCTGAGCATCGCTGGGCATGACCCAAAAAGAAAAAAAAAGATTTATTCCTGTAACAGCAATAAAGAATTTGAGTACATCTCGATATGCCAGCCACAGTAACAACAAAGTCTCCAATGGAGACGTTACTGGGCCCGCTCGAGCAAATCGATGATCAACGGGAGGGCCTTTACCTTTACCTTTACCTGTAGAAATGGAAACACTATTGAAAATTATCAAATTATTCTGCCTTTTGAGGAAAGTAGAAGAGGGGAGGGGAGATGGGTCAAAACCTAGCGCGCACATTTTATATGTAGGCAGCCCAAGTTGGATCCCCAGCACCACATAATTCTTGGGACCTCCTAGAATCCCCAGAGCAGTGTGTTGGCAGCAGTCCCTGGGCACAACCAGAAGTGACACCAAGATTTTATTTTTTTTAAGGAGAGAAGAGGGCTGGAGAGACAATACAGTGTATAGGGGGCACTTGCAATGCAAGTTGCTGACTCGGGTTTGATCCCCAACACCCCATATGGTGCCCTGAGTGCTGTAGGAATAAGCCCTGAGCACAGCTGGGTGTGTCCACCCCGAGTGATATATATAGCAGGTAGGGCTCTTGCCTTGCACACAGCAGGCATAGGTTCAATCCTCTGCATCCCATATGGTCCCACAAGCACCACCAGGAGTAATTCCTGAGTGCAGAGCCAGAAATAACCCTTGAGCATCAGCAGGTGTGCCCCCCTCAATGACTGTAACCCAATCAGAGATATATGTGGCATACACTTCATTTTTTTCTACTCGCAGAAAGATAGTCCCCTGCCAGCCTCCTTTTATTTTTGAAGGAGACTAGAAGAGTTAAAAGGAAAGAGCAGGCACCAAAAGTTACAGTGCAGTTCTATGCACTTAACTGTCAATGGTTACCCCTTTGGAAATAAAAACTACATCTCTCTCTTCCTTTCTGATTCCTACTAAGGTTAAAGAGCCCAGCAAGCCAGGCTCTTAGTGACCAAAACAGGAGACAGAAGTTATGCTGGTTCATATAAAAGAAATCTGGAATTGAATAAAGCACAAGTTACAGGAAGTTAAGAAAATAAAACTTCGTTATTTTGTGGGCTAGAATTCTTAGATTCCCTGAGAATAAATCTAGGTATGGGCTCATGCACTGAATAGCTCATGTTCTAATGCAACAAATCAAATTATTTTTTTTCATTTGCCAAGCAAATGTAGAAGATAGACTGTATGGGTATGTAAAATATGCAAAACATTTATGTCTTCAACAGTATCTTCATTGACTCGTTTACTTGAATGAGTATATCTATAAAACTGTCCATACAAGTTATGAACTGTAGTGCTTTCTTACTGTAAGTGCTGAGTGCAGAACTATGCTAATAATACAAATTAATTTCTGAAGTTTGAGCCATCTTTACTATCATAAAATGAATGTATAACAAATATATACATACATGGAGACTGGATATTCAGACATATGAATGGGTATACAGAAGGACAGTTACTACCTCAGAATTTAATGAAATAATATTTTAAATTACCCATCTGAGGATCAGAGAGATAGTACAGAGGGCAGGGCACCTGCCTTGCACATGGCTGACCCGGATTCCATCCTTGGCACCCTATATGGTATCTGGGTGTCACTCACAAACGTACAAAATAGAATAAACAAATAAACTCATCTAGTAGATTATTAGCAGCATTAAATCCTTTTGTTGATAATAATAGAGGTAAGTAGTCATTCAGTAAACTTAATTTTTAAACATTCAGTAAATTTAGGATGAAAAGTATCCAAAAATTCTGAGGAATTATCAAATTATACTAGTGTCTCTTTGGATATTCTTTAATTAATCCCCTTTTAAATTTTTTTCACTTTTATGTTTTTAATTGTTCTTAAGGAAAATGACAATAACTGACTTTCATTGTTGAAATTTGGAATTTGTTGACTTTACATCTTACTGGTGATTAGGGGAAAAGGGGGTATTTTGTTTTAGTGCATTTTTGGTGGGGGGGTTCTTTTCTTTCAAAATTAAAATAAAATGAATTTATATTTAGAGATAGTTAATGTGTCAAGGTGTATAATTTTGGGGTTTTGTTTGCTTGTTTGTTTGTACTTAGAAAAATGAGAGTCGTCAACTCACTCAGATTCAGTATATAGCCTGGCCTGACCATGGAGTTCCAGATGATTCTAGTGACTTTCTGGATTTTGTTTGTCATGTGCGAGATAAAAGGGCTGGCAAGGAAGAACCTATTGTTGTTCATTGCAGGTATTGTTTCCTTTCCTTTTCTTGAATAGCTCATCTGGATATATCATTGTCTTTAAAGGGGGTAATACATATTTTACTTTGTCCTTCAGTTGTTATTCTCACTATGATAGAGGGAAAATCAAAATTATTTGTTGTTTCTGTTTTGTTTTTGCTTTTTGGTTCACACCTGGTGATGCTCAGGGGTTACTCTTGTCTCTGAGTTCAGGAATTAATCCTGGCATTGCATAGGGAACCATATGGGATGCCAAAGATCGAACCCAGGTGGTCTGCATGCCCGGCAATTTCCCTATCCATGGAACTATTGCTCTGGTTCCCAAAATTGTGTTCAATGGTTGAAGACAATTTATGATCTACATAAGTTTATCATTAAAAAAAATTAAAAGTGCATCATTGTACTGATTCTTAGAAGTTTATTTTTCATACTTCAATATCTCTGAAATTGGAATGTTTTATGGTTGAGAATATGATGAAATACAATATTTTTCCAGTGTTTCAAAGTTGTAACCTGAGATGTTTCCCTCTCCCACCAGAGTCCTCCTTCATGGCCCGTGGCCCCTCTCATTTTTCTTAAAAAGGTCCTATCAGGTACCATTGTGAGGTATGGCTTTTCCAAGAAATCCCAGTGGACTTTGACAGGCTTTCTCCTTTTCAGACTCATGCCCCTATCTGCCCTCAGAGGTCGAATATAATGGACCTGACTTCACTGCCACCCACCCAGAGATTAGGAAATCTCCCTAACCTGATTTCCTTGGTTATTAAGTGATTTACTTGGAGACTTTATTGAGATCTTTAACCTTAAACGTTTTCAGCATCTCTTTTCATTTGTTCCTGGGTTTTTGAGCCACCCCTGACAGTGCTCAGGGGCTATTTGTGGTTCCATGTTCAGGACTGCCCCCATGGCTCTGCCCAGGAGGCCGTACATGCTGCTGGTGATTTTAACCAGGTTCATGGTCAATGCGGGGCAAGCACTGTAACCTCTGTACTATCTCTTGTGCTTCTTTAGCATTTGGGGGGCAAGGGCGGTTTGGGTCACAGCTGATCATCTTAGGACTTACTCCTGCCTCTGTGCTCAAGGATCACTCCTGATAGGCTCAGGGGACTATGAAGGCTGCAAAGCAAGTGGCCTACCCACTGTACTATCACTCTGGCCCCTAAATTATCAAAAGAGATTTTAAAACACATATTTGAAAGGCAGAATACATAATGGTGAACACATTTGGCAATTTCATATCCTAAGTCCCCAATAATACTATATGGGTGTTCACAAGAGAACTTAAATTTTTTTTTCTTTTTTTCAATTTTAGGGCCTTACTGGGCTATGCTCAGGGCTTATTCCTGGTCCTTCACTCAGGGATCACTCTTGGCAGGGCTCAGGGGACAATATGGGGTGACAGGGATCAAACATGGGTCAGCCACATATAAGGCAAGTCCTTTAACCACTGTACTCTCTCCGGAACCTCAAAATGTTGTCCTTGACTATGTGTTAACATTTAAACAGAAAGAAGTTTGGCTTTGAAAACTGATTGATTTTTCTGTGTATTCATTAGTTTGTTCCTGTAATTTGTTGTTTTGTATTTTAAAGGAAAGTTGCGCCAGTAAACTTAAGTACTTAGTTTATATTTTTAAAAGTTAAAAAGTGGGAAGTCCAGTAAACTTAAGTACTTTGTTCATTGTCACTGTCACGCTGTTCATTGATTTGCTTGAGCGGGCTGAGTAACATTGTGAGAACTTGTTGTTACTGTGTTTGGCATATCGAATACATCCGGGGAGCTTGCCAGGCTTTGCCGTGTGGGTGAGATACTCTCGGTAGCTTGCCGGGCCCTCCAAGAGGGTTGGAGGAATCAAACCCAGGTCACCCTTGTCAGCCACATGCAAGGCAAACACTCTACCCACTGTGCTGTCACTCTAGCCCAAGTACTTTGTTCATAATTTTAAAATTTAAAAAGTTGGAAGTGTAGGCAAAGTGATATTATAACAGGAAAACACTTTCCTTGCACATGGACAGCCCAGGTTTGAACCTGGACATATGGTCATCTGAGTGCACCATCAGTAGTAAGCCTTGAGTACTTCCAGGTTTGACCCACAGACCAAAAAAAAAATAGAATAATAAATATTTAAATGTAGGGACCAGTGATACAGCTCACGGAAGGTGGAGCTCATATGTAGCTTGTGCAAGAGTCTAAATTTGATCCCTGGCACTGCATGTCTTCCTCTGTCCCCGCACTGCTGGATGTGGCCCTGATAGACCCCCAGCACCACAGTGCAGACTAAACCTCTAGTCCTAACCAGGGACCAAGTATTGCTGAGGATGGTTTCTACTCAAAATATTGAAATCTAGCTTTTAAAAATGTACTTTTTGGGGTCAGGGAGATAGCCGAATAGTCAGTGGCATGTCACAGCCGGGGTATGTACTAGGACCTAAGTTCAAACACTGACCCCACAAAGCCCTTTCACCACTACCAAGGGTAACCTTACAGATCCTGGAGCGCTTCTACATCCTCAGGCCCAGGTAACTGCGTAGCACCAGGTTTGACCTCTGCCTTTGAACTCCTGTATTCCCTGTATTCTGTTTGGGAAGCTTACCAAAATAATATTTTTATAAATAACAATTGGAGAGAGAGGGAATAGATTAAAATCTTTTTTTTGTTTGTTTTGTTTTCTTTTTGGATCACACCTGATGATGCGCAGGAGTTGCTCCTGACTCTGTACTCAGGAATTACCCCTGGCGGTGCTCAGGGGACCATATGGGATGCTGGAATGCTGGAAATTGAACCCGGGTCAGCCACATGCAAGGCAAACACTCTACCCGCTGTGCTATTGCTCCAGCCCCAAAACCATTTGATCTATACTAAATGTTCAGGATTTTTAAAAAAAAAAAAACATTTTTTTCTAGTTAATTTGCCACTTTCATAATATAAAATATTCAAATAAGTTATTTTCTTGGGTTATTCAGTGGTGACGGAACTGACCACTGCTGATAAATTTGAAATTGGAACATTGAATACCTGGACTCTTATAAAAAGCACTATTATAAAAATCACATTGACTAAATGAAGTAAAAATAAATCTTAAGATGAAGTACTCTACTACTTGTGTTGTTATTGTGTTATTAAGTGAACTTTAATTTTCCTCAAAATAAAAAGCACACCAAGTTTAACTTCAAATAGTATATGTAATGCCTTGCCAATACTTGTCCTTAGTGCTGGGATTGGAAGAACTGGGGTGCTCATTACAATGGAAACAGCCATGTGTCTCATTGAATGCAATCAACCCGTTTATCCACTGGACATTGTAAGAACAATGAGAGATCAACGAGCCATGATGATTCAAACACCTGTAAGTACTGTATTTTATGTTCATGTAGTTTTTCTCTATATGATGATTTTTTGTTAAGTGTATATATCCTAAGCCGTATTTGTACCTTTTTAAAATTCTTGGCAGTAATAACCTCACGGGTTGGCAAATACTGCTTATAACTCAAATATGGTCTATTGCTTGTTTATAAGTAAGGTTCTATTGGAACACAGCATGTTCTTTTGTTTTCATCTACTTTGTGGCTCCTTTCATATAATAATAGCATGGCTGCAGTTGCAGTAGGCATCATATGATCTGCAAAATCTAACACGTTTACTATGTGACCTTTTACAGAAAATGTTTGTCAGCACTACTCTAGCATGTAAATTCCTGAGTAGTTTAAACAACACAGGGGAACCTGCCCTGTATGCTTAGTCAGACGGAATGCTGAGAATGATAAAACCCCTGAACTGGAGAGTCTTGATAGAACTGCTTGCACTGAAACAGCCATGTCTACATTGCCTTTTTTAAGCGCTAGAACTTAGATTAAAGCAACAAAACAAACTCAAAATTTTGCCTACTGTTTTTTTGTTCTACACTGAGTTATTTTTTCAGCGAACAAATGAGAAATCATGGAGTTAATTTTTTTAATACTAAACCATTGCAAAATGTTAGCATTATTAGTGATGTTGAGTTTCAGATCACAGATCACAGATCATCCTGTTATTCGTCAATTGCCTCGAGCAGGCCCCAGTAACGTCTCCTTCATCCTAGCCCTGAGATTATATTCAAGGCTCTTTAGGAGAATGAGACCCATCATTGTTACTGGTATTTGGCATATTGGGTACGACACAGGGAGTTTGCCAGACTCTGCCGTGTGGGCAGGTCACATTCGGGAGCCTGCCAGTTTGTCAAAGTAGGAATGAGATGTCATAATAAAAATGTCGCGCGGCCGCATTTGCGGTTGCACGGTTCCTGGATCTGTTTTTTATAGTCTCTGAGTCGTGGCCGCTGATGGGATTACACGGCGCCAGGGGGCCAGTTGGTGGGTGTGACCCCCGCCTACTGGAATTTGGAGGAGCTGGGTGAAGGATGCTCGACTCCAATCCGAGTAGGCTTGGAGATCTCGGCCCCGGAACCCACGTGGCTTTGTCCCTCTGCCGGTACCTTCAGGTGTGCGGAGAGTGGTCTCAGCATGGTGGTGTCTGGTCCTGGAGGTCGTCGGCTGCCGGAGACCTGGTCGGGGCAGGGAGGAAAGATGTTGAGTTTACTGAAGAGAATTGACTGATGTGACGTAGTCATTTTTTAAGCAATTAATTTAGAAAATTTAAAACATATGCAAAACTAGACATCTAAATAAAAATTTGAGTTCTTAGACCCTGTATTTGCTATACTGTTTCATCTGTATTTCCACTTACATTCCAAATATTTTAGTGCATTTCTTTAATGTGCTTTTCCATATAAACACAGCCACAATATCATCTCACTTACATGTAATTAACTATCCAAATAATATTCTCACATAGCCAATATTTAAATTTCCAGTTGTCTCATAAGTATCCTTTTTGTATGGGGTTTTTGTTTTGGTTTTAGTTTTTTGGGTTTTTTATTTTGTTTTGTTTTGGGGGGTTTTGTTTTGCTTTGTTTTTGGACCGTACCCTGCCGTGTTCAGTGCTTACTCCTGGCTCTGCACTCAGGGATTACTCCTTGTGGACTCAGGGAACCATATAGGGTGCCGGAGATCAGAGATGGGTCTGCTCCATGCAAGGCAAGTGCCCTATCTGCTATAATCTCTCTCTGGCCTCAAGAATCATCTTTTAAATTTTAATAATGCAGTTTGCTTATTAAACTGCAACTTATAATTAATATTAGTAAAACTGACTTTTAAAAAATTAATTTCTAAAAGACTTATGTGTAACTTATTTTCAGAGTCCATTCTGCTTAGTTTTAAGTTATATTGGTTTATAAGACTACATATGTTTTTACCCCTTTGACACTTTGCATTCCCTTACCCTGTTATTCTGTTTGCCACACATAAATGAGATCACCCAGTATTTGTCCGCTTCTTCTGGCTTACTTCACTTCACATTCCTTCAGATTCCTCCAGTTCATTCAAGTTGTAGCTAATTGCATGATTTTTTCATTCACAGCAGCTGCAAAGTATTTCATTTTGTACAGATACCACACATTCATTGTTCACTTGTATATTGTTGGACACTGGGTTAATTCCATGTCCCAGTTATTGTACTAAGTGCTGCAATGATTAGTGGTATGCATATAGGCTTTTGAATTAATGTTTTTGTGTCTTAAGAGTCGATGGCCCAAATGGAATTGTGGGGTCATATGACAGGTGGGGTCTTACTTTTCTAAGAAATCTCCATACTGCTTTCCGTATGGGTCAGATCAGGCAACATTCCCATCAGCAGTGAATGAGACGTATTTACCTTGCTTTTTTTAACTTTACAAAATATCCTGGAATCATTTCCTAATGGGCTGTAGACTTATGTCTTTCCCTGCCTACTACAGCAATTATATCCCACTCTTACATTATACCACAAATTATTGTCAGTTCCTTACATTGGTGGTCGCATGTATTATTTTTACATTTTTATTATTATAAATAAATAATGAAACACTGAAGAGCCTCATTTACAAGTATGTATTTTCAACTTCTTTGTCTAGCTTACCTTGTTTGTTTTTGTTTGGATACCCAGCAGGCCAAGGATCAAGCCCAGGCTCCTGCATGCAAAGCATATGCTCCAGCCCATAATCTGTCTTTTGGATAGATTCTTAGAAGTGAGAATGTTGGATCAATAGATAAATTTATGTATTTTGCTAGGTGCTGCCAAATTTCCATCAAGAGGCATTGTAGTCCTTTACATCCCTACCACTAGTGCCTGAGTGTTGCCGATGAAATATATTGTCAGGCTTTTGTATTTGTTGCCTTTCTCTTAATAGAAAATGCTATTTCTGCATTCTTACTTTGCTCTTTTTTTTTAATATAAGCAACCAAGTGATGTGCTTGCTTGTTTTGTTTTCTAGATTTTCTTATTCTGTTTTTTATCTTTTATTTTTCAGAGCCAATACAGATTTGTATGTGAAGCTATTTTGAAAGTTTATGAAGAAGGATTTGTTAAACCCTTAGCATCATCAAACAAATAAGAATGCAAAAGGTCTGGAATATGAATTGGGAAACTGCTTTCCTTCATATTCAACCTGCCATAATACTGCTTGCAGGAAATGGCATCTTAACAAAGAGAAATCACAGAAACTGAAAACTTCAGCACTGTTGCACTTTATGTTTTAAAAAATATCACTCTCTTAAAATCTATAACTCATTGTTTGAAGACTATTTCATGCTTTGCTCCGAACAAATAGTGAATAACTGTGTATGTTCAGGGTAATTTATGAAATTTTGTGGTGGTGCCATGCAGTCCCCTTCTCGTAGAATTGCCACAAACAAGGCTCAGAATTCTCATCATCTCTGATATACACTTGTATCTTGAAAGCAAAAAGAAGTAAACATCAGGAGTCCACTCTGGTGTTTTCCAGTGATTTATGTACTTATGATACTGATTACCAGATTTTATTTTTAAAACGTTAGCAATATTATTCTCAATATTAGCCAATACACTGCCTATGGATGCAGCACATCTTTCCCTACTCCTCCTATAGAGACCTGCTGTTCATGAGAAGAAAGGTGGAATTTGCTTTTCCCAGGAAATGCTGCACATTGCCATTTACCAGCATCTTATAGAAAGTATAAATATGAATCTACACATTTTCTTGGGTTCAATAATGTAACTTATATTTATCATAAAGTTGGCTTATTCCAAATCATGTAAGTTCACATACTTGATGTAAAGGAATGCATGCATTGTGTCTTAACCCCTTAAGTGCCTTGAGACGTCTTTGTATGTCTAACGAAAAGGCACTCATTTGACCCCAATAGGAGGTATTTACGTAAATTGTACGCCTATGTTCTTATGCATTTTGAATCATCAGTTCACATCATTAAATACAGCTTCTTGTATTGAGAGTCACACAGTCAGAAGGTTAAGGCAATTCTATTTCTTTACTCAATTACTGTATTTTGCCATAAGGAAAGGTAATTTGTATTCTACTGAATGAGCACTGCTGCTGTGGAATTGTTCAATATCTGCACATTCCTTTCCCAAGGAACAAGGGTTACAGTTTAGCAGCTCAAGTTTAAAAATACTTTATTCTTTAAATTTTATATTTATTTTATCTTTAACTTTAGAAATGGCATCTAACGTGCACATTAAAGTAAAACATTGATACTCTAAAATTAGAATAGCTAACTGTGATTTAGTTCTGCCACTAAATTATTACTCTTCAGAATTTATTTCAGTTCAGATTAAGCTTTGATCCCACTGATCCTCCTAGTTGGGACACTTCAGACAAGGAACGGAACATTGTTGACTTTTTTCCAAATGTAATCCATCAATAAATAAAATGAGGATCCTCTTGTCATTTTTATGAATCACCAAATGACTACCGTTTGTATATACTTACTTGAACTATGAACATGTTAATATGGCAAGTTTTGATCAGCCTGATGGAAAAATCTAATTCCCTTTAAGAATGTGTATGTTTTCCTCTTCAAGTTTTTTTAAGTCTACTATTTTAAGATAGAAACTTTAAAATTGCCCAGTTTTAATATAAATGGAAATTTGTTCACCTGTTAAAATGTTCTATTACACAATTATTTTATATGGTTTGGTTAAAGTAGATTCATTTCCTAGTAACTTCTGAATATTTATGTATGAACTTAATAAAACTTAGTTTAATAGTAGACATTTTAGAATGCCATTTAGTATGATGGGAGAATGTAAATTTTAAAATCTTAAGTAATCTGACTACTTAAGAATAAGTAATAAGAATAATCTTAAGAAATCTTATTACTTAGGTAATAATAAAATTAGTTCAGATTTTCAAAATCCATAATAATAAATTTTAGGAAGCTCCTAAACACTATAGCAAGATGCCAAATAAATTATTGTATTAAAATATTTTTTTAAGGAAGAGTAAACATTACCTTTATGTCAAAGAAAAATTCTCTTATCTATTTCTGGATTTCACAGTCAAGACAGTATAATTTAGTAAATAGCTATAGTTTTATTTGAACATTCCATTCTCTATTCACAAAAAAAGTACTTTAGGCTGCTAGTAACATCAGGATAGATTAAAAAGTGAAAAAGTAAAATCAAGTTGCAGGGCTGAGGGGTGTCTATATAATTAATGCCTGTTTTGGTAGTTGTTTTTTACCTGAATTTAAAAAAAAAGTCTGTTCTACTGTATGAAAATATATGTTTGTAGATATAAATAGGCAAATGTCATAGTTGGCATGTTCTTTAATTTAGGGCTTTGTTTACACTTTTGAGATTAACTGTAATGATTTGTTGGCAATGAACTATGCTGCCTTTTTAATGCAAGCCTTTAGATGATAATATATTAGAACCTAAGATTTAAGTTCTCATATATATTTTTCATCTGGGAGCTACCCTCTGTCAATATGTACAGAAAGATCCCTTTTTAAAAGCATAGTTATTGGAATTTTACCATTTAAAATAAATTGCCCTTAAAATGAACATTCTAATTCTGTCTTACTTTTTACCCAACAGATAAAAGTATCCCCAACATCTATGCTTCTATTTTTGGGGGGTGGGGTGGCACCCAGTGTGGGATGTCAGGGATTGAACCCAGGTCAGCTGGATGCAAGACAAATGCACTATTTGCTATACTCTTGCTCTGGGCCCCACCTAAGCCCTTTTTTTAAAAAAAAAAAAACTGCTTATCAATCAAACAGTATTCTAGAAATCCAGCTTTTATACACCAAGTAGTTTTAGATTCCATTCATACCAATGTAATGTAATTTTAAAATGCCCCTCTCCCCCGTCATGGTGCCAGGGATAAAACCCAGAGCCTCATGCCTGCAAGACAAGTGAAAAATGCCAAATTTCTCATATCTAAACTACTTTCTCCCATCTTCAGCCAATGTCCTCACCCCCAACCTGTACATACTCAAGAAATCAATGCTGACTTTTTTTCTGAGAAGTGGAAATAGATATTGGTGATTCAAGAGTCTTTAAGTGCTAAGAAATGTTTGTGCAAAGCTTTCTTCTCATTTAGAATTGTATTACCATGTTTATTTCAAATGTTCGTCTGATTTGTGCCAGCACTGTATGTAGGATGAAGAATATTTTGGAATATACATTCAGAAAAAGAAGAATTGTTAATATGTGTTAGACCCATACATCCACTCAAACTAGAGGTAAATAGCTTAAAAAATAATTTCTGTAAAACCCACTAGTACAAATATAGTACAAATAGGGGAAAGAGTGATCATTTTGATTAAGTATAAAGAGAAAAAAATAGATGAAAAATCACTGTAAATGTATAAAAAGGGGTGGTAAACCATTAAGACAGTTACTTGAAGGTTCCAAGTACGTGAAGATACTTTGAGGTTTATATGTTTGTTTCACAAAGGCTAGTGCTAAAAATCCTGAGGTAAAGGATCGTTGTAATTGCAGAGTTACACATAATCTGTTGGCAGCTATGCTTTGTTCTAATCAAAGTTTAGCAAAAGATTCCTTTCCCCTAAAGGTACTGTTACTTGAGAGCTTAAAAGAACTTGAGATCTTAAACAATTTCAGCTTCAGTTGTTATAAATAATACATGTGAATATTGTGCATTGTGAAATAGTTTATTTCAGCTCAAGAGTTAAACTCAGGCAGTGTTTTCACTTAAAACGATGATGATCTTAGACAACAATTTAGAGGTTAAGTAGGCTTTTTTAAAAGCGGGCTGGGGAGTTGGCTCAAACGGTAGAGCACAGCATGCCTTCTTTGCGTCTGTGAGGCCCTGGGTTTGATCCCTAGCACCACATGGTCTGGGTGTGGCTCTGACAATAATTTAAAAAGTAATGATCCTTATTAGGACCCCACTCAGTTTGCTAATTATGATTCACCGATAGAACATAAGCTTTTATAGAGTATATGCTCATTTATATGCCATATGAAACATTAAGATGCAAACTATTAAGACTTTTTAAAAAGCACTTAAGACATAGAATTAAGACTTAGAATATACATTCACTTGTAACCAATAATTTATGTTCACATAAACATGTAGTGTAATTAAACCATTAATTGTTTTATAATATCAGAAAGGGAGAAGGAAACAAAAAATTTAACAACATTCTATTATCTCTTGAATATTTAAGAAATAATGGTGGTTATGTTGCCAAAGTAGTTTTGAATTCATACAAAATTATTTATGTCTCAGTAATGTGGAGTATGTTTACACTTCTTATTATATCATTATTTTGTAGTTAAGTTTGCATTTTAAGTTGCTTAGGCTAAGATATTGTAAAATTATGGTAAATGTGTTAGAATAAACATCGTGTATGACAGAACAAAGATAATTTATGCCACTGCTATCTCTTACATCAGCTGCCATATCAACAAGATGTATCAGCATTGCTTGCACCCCATTTCAGTTATCCAGCTGCAGTCTTTAGGAAGGGAGGGGGTGAGAGAGCAAGTATGAGAGAAAAGTTTTACTGAAGTTATAGAGCTCTGTTATTAAAACCCAGTGTATTGTTTTTAATCAAATATCAGAATTACTCTCTTTTGCCAAGTATTTATTCGTGTCCAAGTGTAAGTATCAACGGAATTTATAGCAGTGTTTTATAGCATTCTTAGAGAATTGTATTGCTGCAATGAAATTTTCATAGTAAGATATATTTGAGGGCTGTTAGTCAATAAATTCAGCAATTTTGTGTTTTTAAAAATCCCTGAGATTAGTTCCTATGTTGTATATTTTTAATTTACATGTGTACAGGTATTTCAACACAAATTTGTATTATATACAGACGTCATTGCTTTTTCCCATTAAATATTTGAGCCACTCCCAGCAGCACTTGGGACCATGTGATGCGGGGGAATTGAACCCAGGGCTCCTATTTACAAAACATGTTCTGACGCTCTTTAAGCCATCTTCCAGCCCGTTTTTATTGCTTCTTAATAGCAATTACAATAATTCTTTCAGTGTTTCCAAAAACAAGCAAACCCTGTTTCAGCCAGAAAATAGACGTTTTATTTTAATAGCCTTGATGAAGTTGTGGGTGGATATCAAATATGTATTTGTTTCCATTATTAAATGTGCTGCTATTTACTGTATGTTTTTCTATGCAGTTTACTGTTAATTCTCAAAGTTTTGTAATCATTGTTTTTATTTTAGTAATCCTAGTTAAAAGAACAACCAGAAATATTATCTACTGAGTTGTAATCATCAACATTGACTAGATATGATTCAGTTCATAAGTAAGTTAACCATTTTTTTTCTAATTTACAGATTTAAAGCAATATTGCAAGTTAAAAATTACAGTTTTAGGAGGAAGTTCTACTGTTTAACTTCTAGAAAGAAACCTTTAAACTTTTTCAACATAAGAATGAAAATATTTGAAAGCCTTGTTATGCTCATAAAAGTTCCAGCTTAACACTGTAGAGTTTTCCTGTTGTGTAAAGTATACAAAAATATTTTTCTATGGACTGAAAGATTGAAGCTGTTAACTTTTACTTCATTGTTTAAGAAGGAAACAATAGTATTTGTATGTCTTTCATGCTGTAAAAAAGATGAATGTATCTTTCAAATGTTACTAGAATAATAACTTGATTCTAAAGATACTCTTGTTTTGGTAAAAAGTCATCTGGGTTGAAAAGAAAGAAAGGAAGAGTATATTCCACTTAATTATACAAAATGCAGTTTTAAGCATATATGTGTTGGGGCTGGAGCAATAGCACATTGGGTAGGACGTTTGCCTTGCACGCGGCCGACCTGGGTTCGATTCCCAGCATCCCATATAGTCCCCCAAGCACCGCCAGGAGTGATTCCTGAGTGCAGAGCCAGGAGTAACCCCTAAGGATCAGCTGGGTGTGACCCGAAAAGCAAAAAAAAAAAAAAAGTATATATGTGTTTACCACAAAGGAAAGTCCCCATACTTGTCTTTTGTCAGACACACAAGAGAACATTGTGGGGGTGATAAAGCCAGAAAACTGTGCCTAAGGTTCACAACAGTAAATATGTACAGAGGCCCCTGACAGATAGTTTTGCCTTTTAATTCCCAGTATCTTAGAGAAAGAAGACCATTATCCCAAATCTGACTTGTAGAAGTGGAGTCTTAAATCTTTAAGGGCTTATTAATTCAGCTGAACACAAAAGCTCCCTGCATTGTAAACCAGCTTCTTTAGGCATGATTCATTCAATACCCTCTTTAAATTGTAATATTTATTATATTTCATTAAATGACTCAGTGGGGCCTTCATTATTTTGACTCCTACTTCCATCCCTCCAACTTCTTAAAAAAAGATCACTGATTTTTATTTTACACTGAAGTCTTTGTGAAGTAAACATCTTAAATCAGAGTTTCTTAAACTTTTTCCACTTTTGCTTGCCCCTTTTGCTTAAGAAAGCAACCCCAGATAGAGAGGTATATAAAGTAGGTATACAAGTCAGACATTCACTAATAATAAATCATAAAGAAATTTGTTTTAAAACATTTTTAAAATGTTGCATAACCCCATGTGGGGTTACAAACCACAGTTTAGGAAGCTAGACCCTAAACAGCTATAAATTGATCATCCACCTTCCTTGTTGTTAGAGTTCTTACAGGAGTAGTGTCAGGATTCCCCTTCATGTTGGAAGTTTTAAATTTTTAGCAGATAGAACTTGTGATAAACTTAATAACTGACTCAGCCTGCTTATAATCCTAAAATCCAGGTAGACACTGACTTGTGGTTTCCCATATCCGTTATGGTCACAGCTGTGCTCATTTTATCCTTGACTGAAGGAACTTTTTAGTTTCTACTCCTGAATTGTAGTGTTTTAGTTATTTGCCTTCCCAAGGAAGAAAGTTTCAACCCCCAATTCTGCAGTTCTAGTACCCATTATTTCGCATCCTTAATTGAGTTGACAAGATTGTTAATTTTTCATGTATTATGTAGAGTAGGTCAAACTTCAGTGCTTAAGTTGATTTTCTGAAATTCAAATAGTAGCACTTTATTTCATACTACTGAGTTAATTTATATGTTTAAAAGTAAAATTTATCCTAGGAGTTTTGTAATTATGGGGGGGGGGGAAATGGACTAGTATATAGAGCTTATTGGATTAAACCCAAGTTTAAATGCTTTACAGTGACCTGATAATTCTATATTTAATAGGTAACTTGTGTGATTCTAGCTTTGCCATTTTCTGTAATTTAGTTACAACAAAGGCTACCCAGTTGACTGGCCTTGCTGGACTCTTGGATTCTCTTAGCTAACAGAACTCCAGTCAAATTTGGTTTATTATAGTCATTTCTGCTTTTCCTATTTTTTTTTGTACTTTCTGAAAATACTTGGAAATTTATTTTATTTTGCATTGTACCTTAGGATTAGTCTGTACTGAACCACAAGTAATTTGCAAGGGGCAAGTCCAGATGCTTGATACATCTTTTGAGGGGCAGGATTTAAGTTACCAAAACAGTTTACATTAAGCTGTTTTTCATTTTCTTTGTTATTAGAGTATATGTCCTTAAAAAAATAGAAGC